TTCGTCATTAATTTCTAATTAAAATAAATAAATAAATTAATTTAATTTTTTTAACATTAATTAAATAAAATTTTAATTTAAAATTACCAATAAATTGCCATTTTTTAGTTATTGTTGTTGTATTAAATTTTGATAATGCTAAAATTCTATTAACTTTGTTTAGTCTATGCTCAGTCAAAAAATTTTGACAAGTTTAAAGATATTTATAACAATAACGTTGAGTATTTGTAATTTTATTATTTTCATCTTTTAATAAAAGGTCTCGTCTTACATATCGAATACAAGATAAACAAAGAGCTTTCTTATTATTTTTATTTGCTTTTTCATTGTGAAGTACTTCAAATCATGGAGTTAATGGATGTAGCGCTTTTCCTCTTGCATGTGTCATTATGTTTTAAAATGAGATTTTATTGATAATTATGCGATTTTGGATCTTTTTATATTCTAATCTTTCCATTTAAGTTTAATCAAGATTTGTAATACGTCAATCATAATGGACACAATGGACAATGCAATGGACACAATAGAAAACTGTCCATTATCAATTGTTATATCAATGGATATATCTATTACCAACACTGTATTAAAATACAATTTAATTAATAATATATTAATTCATACTAAAGTATATATAGTACAGTTTATCTATAAGCTTATTTAAATATTTATCAAATTTTTAAAATTTATTTAATTTATCTAATTCTTAAAATACTTTTTCAGATATTTATTATTATTATAATAATTAATTCTCTTTTAATTTTTATCTTTAGTATTTTTAATATTTTTAATAATTTATTATATTAAATAATAATATTTTATTTTATTTTATTAATATAATAGTTAATATATTTGATTTATGATATAATAAGTAGTTAGCTATGCAAATTAATTTTTATATAAATAAAATAACTTTTTTTTTAATTATAAATTAGTTATTTAAGTTTAAAATAATAAATAAAAGAATCAATTAAAATTTTTTATATACATATTATTTTTAATATATTTTTCATCTAAAATTTAATTACTTAATTTTAAAATATATAATAGTAAATTGATTTAAGAATTCTGGATATCTATAGAATAATAAGAGTTTTCTAAAGTTATAAATTTTAATAAATACTATAGTTCTTTAATTTAAATATTTAAAATAAATATAATTATAATTATAATTATTTTATTAAAAAAAATCTTTTATTTATATAGTTTTTTTTAATTTTTTATAATTTTTTTTAAAATATTTATTATTAATTTTCTTTTAAATAAATAAGTAATAAAAATAAATTATTTTAAAATTATCATTAATTAATTAATTTATTATTTATTTGATTTAAATTTAAAAAAATTTATAATTAATATCATATTATATAATATATAAGTTAAAAATATAATATTAGAATAGATTACTATTATGCTTTACTAGATAAAATTATAAAGAATCTAAAATCAGTAAAGACTTTTATTTAGAATATGTAAAGATTTTGATAAATGTAAAATTTCTATGATCAATATTAAATTTATGATAATAATTTAAGATGAATTTTGCAATAAAAAGAAACAAAACTTCTAAAAATAAATTCAGATTTAACATTAATTTAAAACAATTGTTTTTTCTCTTTTTACCTATATAATTTATAAATTTATAAAGCAAAAATGTAAAGTCTAATATAATTAAAATTTTATTTATAAAAATATAGATATATAATTAAATAAATTAAATAATATTATTAATAAATAAATTATTAATAAAATTATATTATTATTTTTTTACATTATTAAAATTTAAATTAAGTTTTAGATTTAAAAAAAAGTTATTTTAAAGGGTTTATAAAGATTTTATATTTTAAGTTATATTTAAAATAAATTTTAACAAATATTATTAATAATATTATGAATCATACTATTATAGTTTTTTACTTGAAATAATAGTTAATAGAAAAATCTAAATTTTGATAATTAACTGATTACAGTCATGTGTTCAAAATTAGCAAAAATTTCCTTTTTTTACTGACGCTCTCCCATATTAAACCGCGTAATTAAACTTATTTGGAATAATTATGATTAATTTGATTATCATTTGATCATTTGATCATTCAACATCAAAAAATTCTCGTGACGTTAGAAGTTTCGTCATCAGAAAATGATTTAGCGCTTTTTTTTTTTTTTTTGATTGAACTATCGGAAAACTAAATCCGTGTTAGGTTGCCGTGTTGTTCAATACGTATTTGACCTTTAGAGCTGTTAATGAAAAGAGCTCGATAGTGTCGACCGTGATCTTTGAAACGGTCAAAAATCCATGGCCTACATTCGAAATTGTTTACAGATCGCTTGCAAGAACTTTGCGGGAGGCGCCTTTGCGCGCTCTTCAATACCGTCGAAAACTTGCTTTAATTTTACTACTTCAGTTTTGAGAAATTTTTCTAGTCAAATATGTTATACTCCACGATCGAATTTTCTATTACGTTCAGTTCCACAAATGCCAGCATATTCAAATTCTCCTATGCTACTTCTCATACAACCTTTGCATAATGAAACACAATATCAAAAGACTTTTTCAAACATTACTAGTCAAAAATTTTTAATTATTACGCGAAGTTATAGTCGCAGTAAATCTAAATCGAATGAGTCAAAACTAAGTTCTGATTCTTCTGATGGATCAAGTGATAACGGTTCTAAGGACGATGGCCAACAAGGGGAAGGTGGTAAGAATAGTAGTGGTAACAATAGTAATAACGACAGTGGTAGTAGTGGTGAAAGTCCTAGTAATGGTAACAAGGGCGATGGATCCAATAAAGGTAATGGCGATGGATCAGGAGATGGCTCTGCTCCTCGTTCACCATTTGAAAGTATCCAAAGAACTCTTCACGTATTGGAAACGACTTTGCAAAAACCTTCAATACCAGAGGTTTATCCGCAAGTGTTAGCTTTACCAATAGCTCGTCGACCATTATTTCCTGGTTTTTATAAAGCTGTAGTTATTAAGGATCCACATGTCACAGCCGCTATTAAAGAACTGATGAAACGCGGACAACCTTATGTCGGCGCATTTCTTTTAAGAGATGAAGATGCGGACGTTGATACGATAACAGATATTACTAAAGTTTACAAAGTAGGAGTTTTTGCTCAAATTACTAGCGTTTTCCCAGCAAATGGTGGACAAGATGAAAATTCTCTAACGGCTGTCCTATACCCTCATCGACGCATTCGTATTACGGAACTTTTACCTCCTCTACCAAGTGGAGTCTCAGAGGCTGAGGTCGTTGCCGATTCAGTGCAGCAAACTACTGAAGTGACAACTCCTGTACCACTTAAAGGTAATGATTAATCGATACATTATATTAGGTCTTTTTGTTTTATTGACAACTATATATTCATTAGTGCCAGAGACTCAATATGCTACATCTTTCCTTGAAGATTATAATGTTTCACTCGTTAATGTTGAAAATCTCAATGATGAAGTTTACAACAGAAAAAATCAAGTGGTTCGTGCTATAACTTCAGAAATTGTAGCAGTATTTAAAGATATAGCTACGTTAAACCCGCTTTTCCGTGATCAAATTGCCAATTTTTCGATGTCACAATCTGCTGGTAATGTGTTCGAAGAACCAGCTAAGCTTGCTGATTTTGCTGCTGCAGTATCTACCGGTGAACCAAATGAATTACAAGAAGTGCTTGAAAGTTTGATTATTGAGGAACGTTTACAGAAGGCTTTACTTGTCCTTAAAAAAGAATTAGTAAATGCTCAACTGCAAAGCAAAATAAGTAAAGAGGTAGAATCAAAAATTGCTAAACGGCAAAGAGAATATTATTTGATGGAACAATTGAAAGGTATTAAGAAAGAATTAGGTATTGAAACAGATGGTAAAGATAAACTTGTTGAAAAGTTTAAAGAGAAAGCAGACAAACTTGACATGCCAGATGGAGTGAAGAAAGTTTTTGAGGAGGTGCATATTTATATTATTATCATTTTTTTTTTTATTTTTTTTTCTTGAATCACATTACAACATATTTGATTTTTATAATCATTATTAGGAAATCAACAAACTTGCTCATTTGGAGCCTGCTGCATCTGAATTTAATGTAACTCGTAACTATCTTGATTGGCTCACTCAAGTTCCTTGGGGTCAGAGATCTCCGGAGAACTACAATATTAAACATGCCATTAAAGTGCTTGATGAAGATCATTATGGTCTTCAAGATGTAAAGGATAGAATCTTAGAATTCATTGCTGTTGGTAAACTTAGGGGTACTGTTGAAGGAAAAATATTATGTTTTGTTGGTCCTCCAGGTATGATACAATTCATAGTAATTTATTTGATAGAGGTTGAATCTCATGTTAATATTTCTTACGTGTGTATATTTTATTGTATAGGTGTAGGAAAAACTTCTATTGGAAAATCAATTGCTCGAGCTCTTTCTCGTCAATTTTATCGTTTTAGCGTAGGCGGCCTTACTGATGTCGCCGAGATCAAGGGGCATCGACGTACATATGTTGGTGCTATGCCCGGTAAGGTCGTTCAAGCATTAAAAAAGGTACAGACAGAAAATCCATTGGTTCTGATTGATGAAGGTATGCTAACGTCCTATATCATTAATTACCATTATTATTAAAGTCCGAAGGTTATTAATATATATTTTAATTATCTAAGTTGACAAAATTGGTAGAGGACATCAAGGCGATCCTGCTTCCGCACTTTTAGAACTTCTTGATCCTGAGCAAAATTCGTCATTTTTGGACCATTATATGGATGTTCCAATAGATCTTTCAAAAGTGCTTTTTGTTTGTACAGCTAATATAGTAGATACAATACCAGGACCACTACTTGATCGTATGGAAGTGATACAGCTTTCTGGATATGTAGCTGATGAAAAGGTTGCCATTGCTTCTAAATATTTGGCACCAACTGCAAAAGAAATGGCCGGTTTGCATAACGCTGATGTCATACTTAAACAAGATGCCATTGAAACATTAATTAAATCATATTGTCGAGAAAGTGGCGTTCGTAACCTTAAAAAACATATTGATAAAATTTATCGCAAAGCAGCTCTTAAGATAGTACAAGATATTGGTGAAGAATTACCTTCACAAGAACTTGATAGCACAGAAATAGAATCTGAAACTCCTGAAAAGAGCCAAGAGAATGAAGGACCAACTATTACAACTGAGCAACGTAAACCTTTGGAAGTTCCTTCAGATGTTCATGTTGATATCAATTCTGAAAATTTGAAGGATTACGTAGGTCCTCCTTTATGGCATTCAGATCGTCTCTATGATCATACTCCACCTGGTGTTGTCATGGGCTTAGCTTGGACAAGTATGGGTGCGTATAAAGTTTTTATAAATATTTTCATTTATTTGTTTATTTGTCAAACAATGGTCCGACATTATTGAGATAAACATTTAATTTAGGCGGGTCCGCATTATATGTTGAATCTACTCTTGAGTCTATCCTTACTACAACATCAACTCCTTCGTTTACAATTACTGGACAAATGGGGGATGTAATGAAGGAATCCTCTAAAATTTCATACACATATGCAAAAAGTTTAATGGCTCAAACTTTCCCTGGAAATAAATTTTTCGAAAGGGCTGCTATACATCTTCATATACCTGAAGGTGCAACTCCAAAAGATGGTTTGTAATTATTTAAAATATTCGTAGTTTTTTACATTTTTTTTTTTTTGTAATTACATTTATCCGGTATATCAATATAGGTCCATCAGCTGGTATTACCATGGCAACTTCACTTCTTTCACTTGCACTTTCTAAATCACTTGATCCAACTATCGCAATGACCGGCGAACTTACACTTACTGGTAAAGTTTTGAAAGTCGGAGGACTTCGTGAGAAAACTGTAGCAGCTAGAAGATCTGGAGTGACCACTTTAGTCTATCCTGATGCAAACATTAGTGATTGGGAAGAGTTACCTGAAAATGTTAAGGAAGGACTTAAAGGTATTCCTGTAGGATGGTATGATGATGTTTTTAAGGTAGTATTTGGAAACATAACAAAAGACTATGCTGCTAAGATTTGGATGAAGATGATAGACATCGAACCTGAAGTCACTATTAGTCAGAATAAAAAAGTGGTAGATACCGCAAGATTGTAAAAAAACAATATATATCTTTAATTCAAATTTGGACTTTAAACAAAACAATGATTAATGTTTTTCCTATTTATTTATTGATCAAAAATTTAAAATCATATGTTTAAACATGATATTATTAATACATAATAGATAAAATCAACTGTTTTAACAATTTTTTATTGTTTATGGTAATTAGAGATAATGATTTTTGAAAAATCAATTTTTTAGATCTTCAAATATAAATATAAGAAAATCAATAAATATATTATTAAAAAAAAAAAAAAAATTTAATTATTAGTATTATTTTTAATGTATTTATAAATAAATCTGAATTTTTTAATATAATAAATTTAATAATTAGATAATAAATAAATTTATAAATAAATAATAAATAAAAGTAAACCTAAAATCACATTTAATATATAAAAATAATGTTGATTTTTTTAACAGTTTTTCACTTTTTTTTTATTGTAAAGGTTTCATATTTTTATTATTTTTTATTTTTTAAATTATCCAATAAGCAATTTATTTATAAATTTACAAAAATTTAATAAGTATATTAAAACTAAAAAAAAAATTAAATTAATATTTAAAAAAAAGTTTATTATTTATTAAAAACAAATATAAATTTAACTAAATAACATCTTTATTAGTATAATAGAATACTGTATTATAATTTTATAATACTTTTATTATTTAATACTCAATTTAATTATATTTAATTATATTTATATTAAGAAAATATTATACAATTATTTTTTTATAAAAATAAATAATTTGAAAAGTTAAATATTTAAAAATAATATTTAAATTTTATATTAAATTTAAATTCAAAATTGATTTTTTATCTATTTATTATAATTGAAATTTATTATAAAAGTCATTTATAAAGTTACTTATTTAAATTCATTTTAGATTTAATAAAATGTCTAAACATTAATTTTGTTAATTTTTTATTAAGATTTTATTATAATTTTACATTTTTATAAACTTTAAATAGTTTTACCTTTTTTAAAGTTATACAAATTTTTAATAAAATTTTAATATAATTTTACTAAATTTTACCTTTATTATTTAAATGATTTATAAAATCTCTAGATTTTATCTAATAATTTTAATTATTTATTTTAAAATATATAAATGTAAATTTTAATCACTTTTTTTAATATTTATTTATAAATATAAACTTTATTATTAATATTTTTTATTTATATAACCAATATTAACTAAAATTTTTTTAATATTATAAAAATTATATAATATAATATAATTTTAATTATTTTATTTTTGCTATTTAAAATTAAAATAATTTTAACTATTTTAATTATTTCAATCATTTTAATTTCTATTTCATATATAGATGCCTGTCAAAATCTTCTTAAAATAATTTTGTCATATTCTTTTCTATATCTTTAATATAATTTTAACAGTTTCAACTTTCATTATATCAAAAAAGTTTCATCATATTTTTTATTATAATTTTAATATAATTTTATTTAAGTTTTAACTATTATTAAGAGGTTTCATCTCTTATTATTAATTTCATATATAATATTAATATGTTATTTATTTATAAATAATGAAAAAATCTGAAAAATTTTATTTTCTAAATATATTCTATAAATTTTATATATTTTGAAAAATTTATATAAAGTGATATATCTTAATTATGTTTTTTCACTATATTTATACATGTAAGATTTGCATTTTGATTATTAAACAATGATATTTATATGTAATTCTTATGATATAATTAAAGATTGTATAATAATTAGTTATAATTAGTAATAAATAAGTATTACATAGTTATAACTAGTTATAATATTATTAAAATTAAATTGCAACTTGTTACAACTAATGACAAATAAGTGTTATCTTTAATATAATTACATTGATTAACAAAAAAAATCATAATCAAATTATATATATATTATTTTATAATGCTGATTAAATAATCATATATTTCAGATTACATAGTAAATATTTAGTCATAATTATTCTGAATAATTGTTAATACATTTGAGAATTATTAATTAATAAAAAAATTTATATAATTTTAATGGTCTTAACTTTCTAGTATTACTATCAAATTTTTAATTCATGTAATTTCAAAATATATTACCTAATGTTACCTGTTATATTAATTACTTCTTATATAGAGAAGTTTTTCAAAATGAAAAATTCTATTTGTTAATTTATATAATATTAGTTAATATATCATATGAAGATAAAAAGCTTGATATAAAAAATATTCTCAAATTATCTAAATTTTTTATAAATAAAATTATATATATACAGTATATTTTAAAATTTCAGAATAAAAAAATCATATGATTCAAATAATTGTTTATAGTAAAATTTTTTCTTTCATATGTATTATTCACTAACTAGATTAGGTTAACCATTTTCTAATCAAAAAATATGTGAATAAAATTCTAAAACATCATTATAAAATAACATAAATATATATATATATTACTATATGTATTAATATTTTTCTAATATATAATATATGTATATTATTAAAAAATATAAGCAAAGCTTTATTGATATTACAGATAATAATTAAATGCAATATATAAAATAATTTTATATTCTTAGACATTAATGATAAAATTTTACATATATAAATAAGTCAAATTAAATCTTTATCTAATGATTCTAAACAAAATGATTCAGGATATTTGGTATTTTTTTAATATAGTTATAACTTCAATTTTATATATTTTTTTGTTTTTGATAGTTTTCTTATTCATCAACTTAATATCAACTAAAGATGGTGTTGCAATATTGTGATGCTTATTTATCATCTGTTGCAACTTAAATTTTAATAATATTACAATTCATTGCAATATTGTAATGCTTATTTATCACTTATTGTAACTAATTAAGGTGCCATTTTTAATATCAACTAATAATAACAAAAATAAAATACTATTAATTTTATATAAAAATCATTTATAAATACTTAATATTATTCTATTATCTAAAAATCTATAAGGTTGCTATATCCTTAGCAAATTTCTGTATATTTTCAAAAAAAAATAGGTATTTTGAAGCTTATAAATTTATTATATAGATATATTATAGAAAAAAATCATATCATATTTTTATATTAATCATTTCATCTTATAAAAAAAGATTAGTAAAGTAATTAATCAAGAATTTTTTACTAACAAATCTTTATAATATATTTACAAATACTTTGAATAATATAAATTCATATATTCTCATATAGGATCTTATCAAGTAAATTGTTTAAATTTGCATGATATTATAATCCAATTTTACTTTATCATCAATATCTTTATTTATTAATATGAAAACTTAATAATTATTATTTCTGTCTATACTTTTTCATTTGAAAAACTTTTCAAACACTATCTAATTTATGAAATAATGTACAGAAGTGGTTATAAGTATCTGACCCCTCATAATTCTTAAAGTTAATTAATAACACCTATTAAAATTTTCTAAAATTCAAAAACAATACCAATGTTGATCACGTGTAAAATTATAAACTTATATAACATATAAATCAAAAATTAGATGATCAATAAATTTTGTATGTAAATTACTGATATTTTTTAATAAATTAAACAAAATAGTTTTTTTTATATAAATTTCAATAATGACTAAAATGGAATTTCAAAATATAGCTACTTTATATCTATTGTAATAAAATTATAATGTTTATTATATTTAAAAATATCAT